ATTTTAATGCAAAGTTTTTGTATTTTTTACTGTCATATCAGAACATTAAAAATATTAATGTATATTTGAATGCGTTTCAAGCTGTACTGTTTAATAATTAAAAACGTCCTCTGGTAAATTTCAACTTATTATAGTAATTAATAAAAAAGTTAAGGATAAAAAACTCACGTGTAATTAAAAGATCTTCTGACTTTTGAGTCCATTTTAATCCAACGGAATTCGTGGATCTTGACACCAGAAACACATTTGGAGGTGGAGGCAGATCTAACCAGATGGGGGGAAAAAAGACCTGTTAACTTGAGGTTGTAACACTCGTTAAAAGGTTGAGTACATTTCACCGGTAGCAGTTTTACCTAACACGTGTATTGTGGCAAGTCTCAACTAATATAAATAACATGATATATAATGCTAAACAATTTACCTTATGTATAAATACATACTCTAAAAGAAGTAGTTCCAAACTAAGCAGCATCGTACGGAGACTGGACAGTACAATCTATAATACTGGAATTTCCAACCTAAACGACACCTTATGAGCACATGACTTATACAACCAAGTGAGGGATATATAGGAAACCCTGTAACTTTGAACTATTGACCAAAGGGAGGGCAGCCAGTCAGGAGCACCACCACCACCACCAGAATGGCTCTATCTGACTAATTGAGCCAAATAACAGTTCTTTCTGGGGAGCGTGTTCAGGTGCATGACGTCTTGAACTTCAGACCCCTCGACCCAAACCCTACACGTGGACCACTAGGCCACATTATGCCCTATGGGAATTTTAGAATTAATCATAATATAGCTCACAGTCTCATGCATTGGTGAAGACATACCGTCTGTACTGTTGTTCGACCGCTATGTGCAAGAATCACGTGTGGAGCAAAAATATATTTGAATATATGACAAATATAAGTTTGAGTAGTAGTAAGTACTGTTGAATCCAACAGAAAATATTCTATTATTTAATTTCTGTAATTCATATTGATGTACAGAAGACTTTTTAATACTAAAACTGAACGATATAACACCAAATTTGTTATTTTTCTTTAATTGGACTCTCAAGAAAAAAGCTTTTGAAGCTTTGTACTATCAGTTACAGCTTGTGTTGTAGTGGGACTCTCCTGAAGAAGCTGTAAAGCGAAACACTGAGGTCAATAAGGTCAATATTTTGCTGGTGGTAGAAGAAGGTTTAATGCCAATGTCTAGATGAAATATGCTGATAATAAAAAAAAAGGTAACATGGCGATTCCGAAAAATTAAACGCGTAGATTATATTAATCTCATAAACCATAGAGTTTCACCTGCATCTGCTGTCCTTTTGAAAATCACTTGAGACTGCTGACCACTTCCAGCACTGTTAAAGGCCGAAACGGTAACGGCGTATTCAGTATTTCGCTTCAGGTGTCTCAGAAAGTACTCTTGTCCTTGATGTTTACTAACGTTAACTGTCCTGAGTGAAAACGGGGCTGAAGAGTTCCTAACTTTGTAACCAACGTAGTACCCCACCAGATGGCCATTCCAATCATTTTTCGGTGGCGCCTGAAATGAAATAAAAACAGAACTTCTTAAACTGTTAGTTGCCCCAAGGTGAGTTGAACGAGTATTGTAGCAAAACTTTGATGTAAACCCCCTATTTAATTTCCACAGAGTTTGTTGCTCTTTGTTTTTTTCTCATAAAGTTATAGGATAAAAGGTTTGTTTGATGTTAAACTTAGAGTTACACAGTGAGCTAGTTATTCTATGCCTACCACGGGTATCGAAACACGATTTTTAGCATTATAAGCCTTCAGACTTACCGCTTAGCCACTGGAGGGCTAGGGGAAAATGTAATAAAAAATATATCTAAAATGATCAACAGCATCTTATGGGTTTTAAATATTACAACGCTGGCACGTGCGGTACGTTTGGTTTGAATTTTGCGCAAAGCTACACGAGGGCTACTTGCGCTAGCCGTCCCTAATTTAGCAGTGAAAGACTAGAGGGAAAGCAGCTATTCATCACCACCCACCGCCAACTCTTAGGCTACCAATGAACAGTGGGATTGACCGTCACATTATAACACCCCCACGGCTGAAAGGGCGAGCATGTTTGGTTGGACTGGGATTCGAACCCACGACCCTCAGATTGCGAATCGAGCACCCTAACCACCTGGCCATGCCGGGACCCGTGAGGTACGTATACACTATATTGACATGTGTACATTGAAACCCAGTTTTATTACGGCTATTTAAACATTTTTAAGTAATGGAATCTCATTTTTAACAATAGTGTTAGTATCAATCAAAGAACCAAGTAATCTTTGTACTGTTTTAGTGTAAATATAAAGCATATTTTAATATTTAGTTGAAGCAACTTAACAAATTACAACTATTCTTATAAGATTATTATACACCCTGAACTTACCTTCCACGTAATTAATAGTGTTTCTGTCCCTTTTGTGTCCACACGGACATCAGTTGGAGGTGCTCCAGGCTCTACAATTAACAATAAGAAAAAAGGGTTATATATATGTAAATTTCTTGTTTTGTTTTGAATTTCGAGCAAAGCTACTCGAGGGCTATCTGCACTAGCCGTCCCTAAATTAAGAGTGAAAGACTAGAGGGAAGGCAGATAGTCATCACCATCCACCGCCAACTCTTGGGCTACTCTTTTACCAATGAATGGTAGGATTGGCCATCACACTATAACGTCGCCACGGCTGAAAGGACAAGCATGTCCTGTGACAGGGACTCAAACCCGTGACCGCAGATTGTGAGTCACCAGGCCATGACAGGTCAATAACTTTCTCTCACAGCTTTTGTCACATTAAACTATTCAAAATTCTACACGTGGGGGAATTCATGCTTGTTTTAGCAGATAGCTGAAGGGCTACTCTTCTATTCACAAATTACTTTCTTACAAATAGCGATTTTTTTTATATATGTAGAAGTATGGAAACTCACTATTATCAAATTTTATAAAGTAAATTTTACATACTTTTGGATTAAAACACTCAACTAACATCTTATGGAGAAAATTCTAAATATGCAATTCGAAATCAGTTTAAAGAGAAAAACCATCAAAATTAAGAGTGTGGATTTACTATTAAGTTGCTTAGACATCTTTCATGTAGGCAAACATCAAATATATTTTGAGAACAAAAACAATGTATGTTTATCATGACCCTTCAAGAAAAAAATAAGCTAACAATATCTGTGGCATAAACAAAGAAATTGTCACTTGTTGCCCCCAATGGCACAGCGGTAAGTCTGAAGGGCTTATAACCGTGTTTCGATACTCGTGGTGGGTACAGCACAGATAGCCCATTCTGCAGCTTTGTACTTAACATTAGATAAACAAACAGTACCTGTTGCCCTACAGTGACACAGCTGTAAGTATGTTGGCTTATAGCGCTCAAAACCGGGTTTCGATACACGTGGTGGGCAGAGCACAGATGGTCCATTAGTTTGAGAATTTTGCACAAAGTTCCACAAGGGCTATCTGCACATAACCATCCATAAATTGAAATTAACAGACAGAGGAAAGGCAGCCAGTCAACAGCATCCATCGTCAGCTCTTGGTTTACTCTTGTCTGGTCAAAGAGTGGGATCTAACCGTCATTTTTATACTGTATGCACCATTCCAAAATACGAAACATGTTTCTGCAGCAACAGGTTCGCGAGTGATGAATCCTTAAATTAATGATTCCGGCACACCTGGCCTTATATTAGTACTTGAGAATAGAATGATATACCTATATAAATGTACTGAACTACCAACAAATGTATACAGTTTGATATGTAATGCAGAAAGTAATACCTAGTTATGGGTGTATAAATGTACTGAACTAACAAATGTATACAGTTTGATATGCAGAAAGTAATACCTAGTTATGGGTGTATAAATGTACTGAACTAACAAATGTATACAGTTTGATATGCAGAAAGTAATACCTAGTTATGGGTGTGTGTGTTTTCGAATTTCTTCTTTTAATATACTATTACTTTCCTAAATTTGTAAAATCCATATATCAAAAATGTCTGTTCTATGAACTTACATATCATACCAAAATATTTTAGAAGAGAATTATTTCGGATTGGCTCTTCTCTATAGAACTAACCATTCAACTAAGAGATGGTATTTCGGATTGGCTCTTCTCTATAGAACTAACCATTCAACTAAGAGACGGTATTTCGGATTGGCTCTTCTCTATAGAACTAACCATTCAACTAAGAGACGGTATTTCGGATTGGCTCTTCTCTATAGAACTAACCATTCAACTAAGAGACGGTATTTCGGATTGGCTCTTCTTTATAGAACTAACCATTCACCTAAAAGACTGTATTTCGGATTGGCTCTTCTCTATAGAACTAACCATTCAACTACATAGCATACTATACATGCTTTCAGTAAAGAAATTATTTAAATTCAACATTTCCTAATGATAAAGTATGTAAAAAAGCTGCCTTTTCATTGAAAACCTAGTGTAGAAAGATGAACAGCTTGTTTCTGAAAAGGAAATAATATACAGGAATGTCAAAGTAAAACAAAATGATGCAAGGCATAATGATAAAAAATAACAGTTGAAAAAAGACGAAACGATAAACATAAATAACAGAGAAAAACAAGGTGAAACTAAGAAGAGAGATTTTTGTTTGTTTGAAGTTAAGCACAAAGCCACACAATGGGCTATCTGTGCTCTGCCCACCACGAGTATCGAAACCCAAACATACCACTGTGTCACTGGGGGCATTGAAGAAAGAACAATCAACATTAGAAGACATGGAGGAAGGTTAAAAAATATATATAAATGAAAACCAGACAGGAAGATATGCAGATTTAAATAGCACAAACAAGGAAAGAAAGTAAAGGATCATAAAAAAACATAAAGAAAAACTTGAAAGAAATAAAACTTGCAGTTGAATAAAGGATGTTTAAAAACTCACATTGTATAAAAGAACGACTCTTTTTTTTTACATAATTCTAAAAATGAGACTGGGAACAGTCTCAAAATTACAATAAAATACAAATAACTTGCTATACAGGGTAAAAAACAAAAACCCGATGAGACTGCAAACAGTCTCATACACTCAACATGTTTCGACGTATTATACTACGTCATTCTCAAGCTGTCTATGACGTGCCCACCACGGGTATCGAAACCCGGTTTTTAGCTGAGCCACCGGAGGCATAGAAGAAGAAACATGAAAGTATAAAAAAAAGAAGAAAAATATAAAGCAATAAAAATGAAAGAAATTATGGAGATAAAAATTAAATTAACATAAACAGGAGAAGATAAACAAGAGCTTTGAGAAGAAAGAAGAAGGAGGAGCAAGGTGGCGACAAAAGTGCAACTGCTCTTTCGAGGTCACCTATCTAAAACAAAACATAGTAAGATATACTCATCCAATCAATATTTTAAATAATTAATGCCTAAAAACAATGCTACAGTTTTAATCAGTATTATATGAGGCAACGGAACATAAACCACAAACATTGGCATTCATATTATGGTCGTGCTCAGCACTAAGCTATGCTTGCCACTAAGAAAACGATTTTTTTTTTTTTACCTTCTTCCTGGGTTACAAAACTTCTGGAGTCAGTTGGATTTCCTCGACCTACTTCGTTCACTGCCAGAACTTTCACAATATAAGAACTACCAGGATGAAGGTTTTGTAGCAGTGCTGATGTCTCTGTCGATGAGACTGGTTGTTCTTGTAGACGTTGCGGAGCACCATCTAGTACAATACAAATAGAATACGTTATTTGTTATTAGACATGAACTGTGTAATTTCTAATCAATCAGAAGAGAAACGCACAATAATATTTCCACCTATGATTGAACTTATCCTAAATTATTAAACAAATATCTAAACTCCTTCGTATATGAGACACATATTGACCTTACAAACTATGGGTTTCTCAATACTCAAATAACCATCAAAATTATTGCAAAATAATACACACAAACAAACACATCCGCTCTTCAAACACGTGCACACAAAAATCTTTGGGAATTCGTTTAGAAGGAGATTTGTTTATATTATGACTGGTTGTTCAAAGTTTCTGATGTTAGAGTCTCTCAACAAATGCAATCTAACGAGATTACGTGTGGTATAAACAGATGCAATCTAAAGGGATTACGTGTGGTATAAACAGATGCGATCTAAAGGGATTACGTGTGGTATAAACAGATGCAATCTAAAGGGATTGCGTGTGGTATAAACAGATGCAATCTAAAGGGATTACGTGTGGTATAAACAGATGCGATCTAAAGGGATTGCGTGTGTTATTAAACACCATGACTACTAACCGCCGTTTGACCTGGTTAGATCTTTTAATTTAAATTATTTTAGAAGGATGATTAGCACCTAAAGTCCAAAGGGATTACGTGTATCATGAAAGACTGCGACTACCAACCACTGTTTGCCGACCATGCATACATTCCCTAATGCTGTACGTCAACCTTTGTGGTCAAGGGCACATCTAAACTAATCCCGTATCTGAATTCGTATTATTCAATTAACATGTCAGTAACTAGTTTTTTGAGCAACACAAAACCGGAACCCGAATTAATTGAGTATCTCTGAAAAGACCTTGAGCGTTGCACTGTGGACCAAGTCAGATCACACAACACCACCCCAGGCGTCACTCGAACAAAACTATTTCTAAGCCACTAATGTTATCATAGAAAAAAACTAAACAAAACAACAATAGGGAAGATGGAGTAGGAGGAGACCAATAAAGTGGCCAACCACTGTAATTCCTTATATTATGCATTAGTTACTTATAATAGAATGACAACAATGTACCATTTTATATTCTTCTAATTAACCAATGCTTGTGGTTGTATTCTATCAAAAATTACGAACCCAAAAATGTACTTTCAGGAGTTCGAGTTATCAAAACTATCTAAATAATGTTGACAGTATCGTAATGAATTTAACCGATGAAATATTGAACATACTTGTCTAAAACACCCATTGTTAAAATTATTTTAATTTATATGAATTCAGAGGAGAATATATATATATATATAAAGACGAAATGTGTGTTTGTTTGCACCCTAACTCCTCCGAGCCTATTGGACCAATCTCAAC